ATGAGCAGGGGAGGGGCAGAGAGAGAGGGAGACACAGAATCGGAAGCAGGCTCCAGGCTCTGAGCGGTTAGCACAGTGTCTGATGCGGGGCTTGACCTCGCGAACAGCAAGATCATGACCTGAGCCAGAGTCGGACACTCAACCGACTGAGCCACCCGGGTGCCCCATGGAGATTTGAAAAAATAAAATGTATATGCTGGAAATCGTGTCCATTTTCTGAAAGATTCATCTTCAGTTCAGATCATTGCAGAAAAACCACTGTGGGTCATGGATGTTACTTTTCAATCCCTGGGCATCCTGAGGCCCTCAGAATGAATACGACACACATACATCACGCAGCAGTGCCCATATATGTAAATAGCACATAGGAAACTAGAAAACTGTGCATCTACCTTGACTAAGAACTAAACAAAGATTAACACGCTAATATGTAATTGTGTCATGAGGCATCCTACAGACTGCTAAACTCCACACAATATCAAGGGATCATTAAGCATGTTTCTAATGACTTTATTTTGGGGGGTTTATGTCATAGAAAAAACTCTGGGCTCCTAGCTTGGCACCGGTCAACTGAGTGACCAGGTTAAGTCCCTCAACCTTGATTTCATCATCTGTGAAGAGAGATTTCCGCCCAGCTTACGTCCACCACTCATCATCCAATCTGCACCTGGCAGACCTCTCACGGTACAGGTCATGTAATTTAAGCGAGGAGCACAGGGGCGCCGGGGGGTGGGGGGCTCAGTCAGTTGTGTCCGACTTGATTTCGGCTCGGGGCATGATCCTAGGGTCATGGGGTTGAGCCCCGTGTCGGGCTCCGTGCTGACAGTGTGGAGCCTGCTTGGGATTCTCTCTGTCTTTTCCTCTGCCCCCCTCCCTTGCTCACTCTGTCTCCAAAATGAAAGAAATAAAAATTTTTAAAAAATTAAATGAGGATCACGTACAGGTGACCCCAAGAGTATAGTGGATGGAACCATTGATGCAACGTCTAGAACATAAGCAAATGCAGCTTACTGCAAACACAGGGAGACTGACTGGAGAGGGATAAAGTCTTTGTTACTTTGAAGCGTTTGCTGAAATACCCACACTGGAGACACCGTGTGCACACGTTCTCCACACCACGCGCATCTGCTACCACACCGGCACGTGCACAGATGGCGTCCGTGACACAGAGCCCGCTGACAGCCCGCAGACCGTGCTCCCGAGAGGACAGAGTGACCACGGCTGGGGCGGCACCTGTGCAGGGAGTGTGCCTCGTCGAGTCCCTGCCGCCCTGAGGGGGTAGGGCGTCGCCGGCTTTAGTTTATAGATTCCGAAGGTGAATCTTCCCTCCATCTTTGGTTAAGGCCTTGCTCCTTCATCCCAGGCAATCCTAATATTCACGAGGCACTTGGACCCTCGTCCCAACACCTTCACGTCTCCACTTGAACAGGTGTCTTCTTGTTCAGTTATCTGCTTTGCAAATTTCTTTTTCTTGGGGGCGTCAGCTCTGCTCCTTACGGACTGAAGCTTTCCTAAAGGCAGGGCTCCCCCTCCTCGGCCTCCCTCCCCGTGCCCTGCGCGCATGGCTTTCAGTGAGGCTCTTTTCCCGTGAGCTGCCGTAGGGGCTCCATCTCTCAAGGACTCGGTCTAGTGAGGGAGACAGAGAATCAGGCGGTTGTTAGCACCGGTGCCAGAGGGACCCGACGCCAACGACCAGGGCAGTTTCCTGTGGCCGCTCAGGATGCCACACTGTGTGAAGGACCATCGCCTGATTCTCCCAGACCCAAATACGGCAGCACAACACAAAGAACTGGTCTTCCCTCCTGCCTGAAGGGGCTCCCGATTCAGGATGAGCTCTGCAACCCGCGGGGTTTGTAGCTATCAACCCACAGATGAGAAAAATCAGTTTTTGTTTCCAGAGCAAGATCTGTCCCTACATGTTTTCTAAGTCACAGTGATTTGGAGGAGGGACTGAATTCCGTCTCAAAGTTTGCTTCTCTAGCTTCCGCTTACCCTGGGACAGACAAGCAAGCGCCGTGTGGTCTGTCAGTCTGGCGGGGAAGGTCCCCTGCCTGACATTCGCCGCCTGGACCGTGTGATAGATCTGCAACCACACGAGAATGTTCCATAGTTTGCCCCCCACCCCCTCGGTACGAACCACTGAGAACACATCGCAGCTTAGCTGTTCTGCTTGATCTGAGCACAGGAAGCGCGGCCCCCACGTCACCGAAGTCACAGGGTGGGGCCGCTCACCACTGGACGTCCCCTGACAGAGCTCCTGCCACCACTTACCTTCTTACTCAGGTTAAAAGTTGACGGCTCTCAAGGTTACCAAAATCCAAGCCCTTGGAGAAAGTCCAGGCCGGAAGGGAAGAGCCCTTCTGAATGAAAGAGGCTTTGCTGTCCGCCCTGCCCGAACCGTAAACCGCCCCAGGTCTCAGGAGGGCCAAGCTGATGTGCCATGGACGCCCATCCCTGACAGCAAGCCACCGCCACTGCCTTCACGTGGATGGACCCGTGCTGCCCCCGGTCATTTGCTCGGCTGCTCCCGTGTGCACACGCTGTGCTCTCCAAACCTTATGAGAACACAAGTTACTCTCTTGGTTTTGTTTTTCTTCATGAAAACCCCAAAATTTGGGCTGTTAAAACATTGTTAAGGACAAAAGGCACAAGATTCTACTAATCAACCATGGATACTCATTCCTTTTTTTTCATATATTTAACGCAAAGATCTGAAACCTCATAGTGTACAAAACCAAACATTAAAGAAAGTGGCTGTTTTACAAAAAGACATTGTAGATTAATACAAAATTGGAAATCAACTAAATGCCAACGAACATTCTGGAAAGATCCATGATCCATAAAGCGTATTTGAACATTACAGTTTCTTCTGCATTAAAGAAAAAAAAAAAAAGATGGCCTCATGACTTCAACACATTTCTATGTCCATGGCTGTGTCTGAACCTTATGAAAAAAAATCCAATTGATTGGGGCGCCTGGGTGGCGCAGTCGGTTAAGCGTCCGACTTCAGCCAGGTCACGATCTCGCGGTCCGTGAGTTCGAGCCCCGCGTCGGGCTCTGGGCTGATGGCTCGGAGCCTGGAGCCTGTTTCCGATTCTGTGTCTCCCTCTCTCTCTGCCCCTCCCCCGTTCATGCTCTGTCTCTCTCTGTCCCAAAAATAAATAAACGTTGAAAAAAAAAAATCCAATTGAATCTTCAGATGTTGTTTTTAACAGAGACTTAACTTTTTTCTTCTAAAATGACTCTCCTTGTTAAAGAGAAAAGACAATTGTGTTCGGTCATTGCTTGCTTGTATCTCATTCAGAAAGTGTCGCAGCTGCTGGGGGGTGGGGAGGCAGTTTCCATGTGAGGCGAGTGAATCAGGACCCCTTCCTAACCTTCTGCAAGACCCCGCCTGTAACACTAGTCTCCAAATCACCCGTTGCAGTAGTTTCAAAGTTTAGAATGATTATGGCTGCAGCCCAGAGTACCACGATGAAACTTACTATCACAACAGCGAAGCGCAACTTTAGAGAATATCGTTTCGGGAGGCAGGACGTTTTATGGTGACTCACAGGAGAGAGGAACATACGCGGATGACGGGCGGCTTATTTCAATCAACGCAGCTCTTCTCTGAAAAACTTTGTGCTTTCGGCCCACGGCACTTTCCAATCAAGTTGAGATTTAAGAAGTGAGCTCGGAGGGAAAATGTCAGGGACAAACTTGGGAACGTGGGCTCGCAGCTGAAGGTACGTGCTGTTGTGGTAACGGACGGTGTGCAAACACTTCCCAGGGAAAGGGCTCTTTTCCCCACGTGTACTTTGACCTCTTCTCTGCACTGGACAGTGGATGAAATTTCTGTTGAGACAAAACTAGAAACAGGGGCCCTTCGCCACCCAGTAACGACTTAAAAAAAAGCTTTCTAGTCCCAGCTAACAAATTCTTAAAGAAATTCCTTCATGAAAACATAGCTCAAAGCCCAGAGTCCGGAGGTGAACCCGCCACACTCAGGGTTCAGGGCAATGAGGCGACGCGGCGGAGAGTCGGACCCGCAGCCCCGGGGCCCACATGTGGCAGAGACTGTGCAGAGGCCACGACTGGGCAGCTGGTGTCTGGCAAGGGGCAGTGGAGGGATGTGTCCGTGGAGGACGTCTTTAGGGACACCGTGCGGCAGAAGGATCAGAGACTGTTCTCACTTCAGAGAGCAGGAGGAGGACCAGATGGGGGAAGAGCTACGGGACCAGACCTGGGGGCAGCCATGGGAGTCGGTAGCGAGCCCCTCGTCACGCAAGTGACGAAGGAGCTGGAAAGCTACTTAACGGACCTGTGTGCTGTGTACAGCGAACCATAGGTCCCTTCCGACTCCCGACGGCGTTTCTCAGGCCCTGGAATACCGTTCAGAGCCGATCTGGACAACTATTCCCAGAAAATGAGCGATACAGCTTCGGGAAAGAACGCGGTATTTAAGGCACCTCCCCGGGCTCTCTTCAGAGGACCCAGCTGGAGGCAGATGGGAGGGGGGCACTTCACGGGAGAAGCCCCCTCACCCTGAAAGCTTCAAGGGGGCGTGGTCTGTCTTACCCGCGTCAGTCAAATGCGCCCTATCATGTGCTCTCCGGGCCGGACACGTGGCCTGATGCGGACGCAGCCCCCACCCCCGGGTTATCAGGTGTAATAAGGGAACAATCGTACATTGTGGCTAGTGTGAAGTCCCCCATTTGGATGTAAACAAGTTATTGGCCTCATGGAAAGTCCACTCATGCAGACGGGCAGAATGCACCATTAATACACCGGGCACATGATCTTTAAGTGAGGCCTCCCTGTCGTGTAGTCCCTGGACCCCAGCCAAGGTGGCTCTAATAAAATCAGGATTTATGCAGGGCAACCAAACGCCCAGATCAGGGTATTGGGGGCAACCTTGTTGCCGGGAGACCTGCGTTTCCGGGCACCTCAGACCCTCGCTCTGGGGCTCGCGGCTACGGGGCGGCAGAGACTCGGACAGGCGCGCTCGTCAGGCCGGGTATAAAGGTAAAAAACTTTATGAACTTTGTACTGTTTGAAAATATAAAATCCAATAATCAGACAACGCTCCTTAGAAATGTGAGTTTGTTGTTTCTCATAAAAAATATAAAAAATATTCCATGATTTTTGACAAAGTGCAACTTGTTCCTGCCATTTTTGGGCTCCCTTTCCACACTTACAGGTTTTACCTCCATTTCAAAGGAACAACTGAAAGGCATCAGTTCTGAATTTAGCACTATATTTATTAGAGTGTTTTTATCAACAAGCTTTCACCAGAAAGTTCCGAGTGCGTGAACGCAGGGGGCTCACTGTCCTCACTGTCTGCAGAGTCGCCCTCTGGGCAGGACCCAGGCTGCGCGTCCCCCGTTAGACGGTTAAACACAAAGTGTGGTTCATTCTGACCGGACTGTTCCAGATCCTGTGACAAGCACAGCCCTGTGTTCCTGTCTGTCTTGTCCGTCTGGCCCCCTGGACCCGAGCCCTGGCTCCTGGCCCCTCCGCTGCCCTCCACGTGCCTGACGTCTCTGTTCCTAGCAAGCCCCCTTTGGCTGTTCTCAGGATCACAATGCGCTTTTCGTGGGGACCCAGGGCTTCTGCAGCCACAGGCCGACGGCCCCACCGTCGGGGGAACGTGCCCCACGCTCGGGAGACCGTGAGTGCGGGTCTTCTCTGGGGCCTGAATGTGCTGCACGGGGTGCAGGACAAAGCTCGTGGGCAGAGGATTCTGCGGTCCCGGTGGCCTCGCTCCGCCCTGCAGGCAGGGACAGCGATGGACGTGCGGGATGGTGCACATGAAGCCTTCGGGGGCCCGGTGTGCGCCCTTCTGCACGTGCACGAGGCTGCCGGCGGGGGCAGCGCACTGGGGACACAGGCCGTCACCCGCCTGCTGGCCGGCATGTGGGCCAGGCGTCGGGTGTCTGTAGGCATCTGGACAAGTGCATGTCTGACTCAGAGAGAAGAAGTGACACACGGCGTGCTGCTCGAGAGGGGGCGGGAACGGGGCACCGCCGCCATCGCCCCCGGGGCCTCTGCTGTACGCGGCACGCACCGGCATCCCGAAGTTCCTCACGGCGCCGTCGGAAAACTCGGAGCAGATGTGGGTCTCCTCGGAGGCGCTGCCGCTGCGGGACGCCAGGGGCTCTAACTCATAAAACTCATGCTCCATTTCGGATTTGGGGGCCCCGGGATCTAAATGATACGCATTCACGGTGTGTGTTTGTCCCTTGTCCCCGGAGCTCGTGGACACGGCGTGGGAGAAGGCGGAACACCGGAGTCTCCCAGGTGAAGGAATCTGACCACAGGCGCCCTGGGGCCCGAGGCAGCGGCACAGGCACTGGAAGAAGAAGGTGGCGAAAGCCCAGCTGACACACATGATGAGCATCATGAAGGTGCCCAGCTGGGTGTACGCCAGAACCGTGGACGGCATCATCATGGCCCCGGCCACAAAGGTGGTCAGAGCGGCCATGGCCATCGCGGAGCCCATGCGACTCAGGGAGAAGATCACCTTCCCCTCCCGGTCGGCATCCGGGGCCAGGCGGTAAGCGACCCCGTAGTGGACGGCGAAGTCCACAGACAGACCGACCGCCACGGAGATGGTCACCGACTCCAGGACGTTCAGCTCCCAGCCCAGCAGGACGAGAGAGCCCACGGTGACAAATATGGTTCCCGTGATCGAGACGATGGCGAAGAGGCTGATGAAGACATTCAAGGTGGTGAGCAGCATCACGCTGAACGCCACGGCCACGGAGAGCCCCATGGCGATGAGGGTGCCGTCCGAGAGGCTGTCCTGCAGGTCGTAGAACTCCAGGTTGCTGACGAACCAGCCGTTGCTGAGGCCCTCGGGAGCCGAGCTCAGCTCCCTGGAGATCCACGCGTCCACCTCCTTGTAAAACTGGTGCATCTTCTCGTAAGCCAGCGTGAACAGGTAGGTGCTCTGGAACTCGAGCACGACGGCCCTGATGGTGTCGTTGATGTCAAACCTCGGCCCCGGCGTCTTGCTGTCCAGGTGGTACCCCGTGCTCCGTTCCAGCTCCATGATGGCCCTCTTGATGCACAGCTCAAAAATCTCCTGCTTGTAGGGGAAACTCCAGCGCCTGCAGCAGAGGTACAGGGCCGGCTCGTCACAGTCCTGGTTTTCCATCCACTGCTTGAACGTCTCGATGAAGCAGCTCGTGAAATCCTGCTCATCCGTCTGGTGAAAGAAAGTCTGGTTTCTCAGCTTTTGACAGAAGTGCAAGATCCAGACCTGGGAAGCGGGGCTCGCGATGTTAAAGCTGCCATCCAGGGCCAGCTTCCCTTTGCTCTTGGGGTTCAGGGGGTCGCCGTTGTCCTCCGGGGACACGCCCCAGACCACCGTGATGGGCATGTGCAGCTCCTCCCCGCGGTGCACGCGCTCGAACATGAAGAGCTTTTTGTACTCGGCGTCGTAGCGCTCGAAGGGGTGCGAGGCCCTGAAGAGCTGGAACTCATTCAGCTCCAGGGAGGGGAGCTTCATCTTGGGGTTCACGCACACGACGTAGGCCCCGCCCACGGTCAGGGCCAGGAACCAGAACAGCCAGACGTAGCGAAACTTGATGACCACGCACGGCAACACCTTCTCGAAGAAAACTCGCGAGGCTTCGGAGACGGCGAACAGCAGCCGGTGGCACTTGCGGCGAGCCGCCGCCCAGCAGCTCTTGCCGACGTACTGCTGCGGCGGCTTTCGGAAGCCGCTGAAGAGGTTGAGGAGGTACCGCTCGTGCAGGACGACGACGGCCGGAAGCCACGTGACCATCAGCACGTAGTTCACCAGGACCGCCGTGCCCGCGTACACGCCGAAGCACCGGATGGCGGTGATGTTGCTCACGTAGTTGGCGTAGAAGGCCGCGGCCGTGGTGAAGCTGGTGACGAACATGGACAGCGCTGCGTGCTGCAGGGTGACGCCCACCGTCTCCGCCGTCCCCGCGTGGGGCTTGTCGCCCTTGGCGTGGCTCCAGACGTCACACAGGACGAACGCGTCGTCTGCGCCAATTCCGACCAAGATGACGAGCGCGGTGAGGTTCATGAATGGGAAGAACTCGAAGCTGAACACCACGCGGTAGAGGAAGTAGGAGACGATCAGGGAGCTGATGACGGCAAACACGGTCATGAGGGTGATGAACAGGGACCGCGTGTAGGCGCACATGACCAGCAGCACCAGCAGGACGGCGATGGCCGGGTAGGCCGTGTCCGTCAGGAGGTGGTCCTGGAACAGGCTGTGCTTGAGGCCGAACTCGATGCCCGCCACGCTGGTGACGCCGTCGGAGCCGTTCCAGGCCACGAAGTTGTCCAGGTAGATGTCCATCATGCTCTCCCCTTTCTCCGTGGGGGAAAAGAGCATGCTGTACCTCAGCGCGGGCGCAGTGGGGCCGGCGGCCTTTGGGGCCGCGAAGTCTTTGTCCACCAGGTAGTGCAGGATCTGGTACACGGCGTTGTACTTGGTGCACTTGCGCGGCACGCCCGTGCACTTGAGCTGGCCCTTCCTCCTGGCCGCCGCGTCCCAGCAGTCGGGCCCGAGCGTGCCGTTGTGGTAGTGCCTGGCGCAGGCCCGCAGCAGCTTCAGGGTGTGAGCGACGTCTCGCTCCACGATGCTCTGGCAGGACGACCGGTTGTTGAGGATGGCGATGTAGTTCCCCAGCGTCCAGCTGGGGCAGCAGGACGCGGCCGTGGTCCTCTGGCACAGGTCCCCGAACTGCGGGTGGGCTCTGATCTGCAGAGAGAGACGCGGAGACCGGCGTTTAAAACCGCTTCCCTCAAAGGTCCGAGTTAAGGCGGCCTGGAGGGGCGGGGGAGTCTTACGGGCTAGTTAACCTCCTCCCAGGACGAGGTGGGCGTCCCCCAGGCCTGCGCCTCGGGGCGGGGGCGGGGGGGTGGGGGGGGCGCAAACTGCTCGGCGCACTGACACGCAAGCGCGAAACCACCAGCGGTTTGGTTTTAAGGAGACAAAGTCAGCGCCTTTTCAGGACGCAGGCCTTCGGAGTCTCTTTAGAAAGCGACAAAGAGGATGGGACACGCGGCTTACGTATACACACCTGCAGGATTAATTCAGAGAACAGACAACAGCTGTCCAATTGACAGAGGGACAAATGGGTGGCTTTGCCTAAAGCTTCTGGTCGTCGGCATGAAACCTGTGGTGACCGGGAGCTAGATCTCAGCCAGCTGAGCTGGAAGCCAAGACGATATTCCCCAGAAAACCGTCCGCGAGCCCGGAAGTGACCCTGGTGATGTCAGGAGCAATGGTCCTCAGTTAAAATATCCCACGTTTCTGATTTTTTATTTTTTTTCAACGTTTATTTATTTTTGGGACAGAGAGAGACAGAGCATGAACGGGGGAGGGGCAGAGAGAGAGGGAGACACAGAATCGGAAACAGGCTCCAGGCTCTGAGCCGTCAGCCCAGAGCCCGACGCGGGGCTTGAACTCACGGACCGCGAGATCGTGACCTGGCTGAGGTCGGACGCTTAACCGACTGCGCCACCCAGGCGCCCCGATTTTTTAAAAATATATGTGTACACTTAATGAGACAAATAAGCAGGCGTTGGTTTCTTCCACATCCTTAAAGGCTTATTCAAGTTGCATAAAACTCCTTTTGGGGTTTGGGGACAGCACGAGAGTTCTGGATTTAGTGTGGACAGCGCCTCATTTAGAACACTGTCCCACCACCGCCCAAACCTGTAAATTACATGAGTGGCCCCCTCCCGAGAGCCAGTTTAGGAAATATCCCCCTTCTCTTGGGCCTGCCAGAGACTTCTCTTCGGAAGGTGGCCCACTCATCTCGGTTTATCAAAGGCTGTTCCAGGGAGGAAACTCCAAAGTTCAAGGAGGGTGTGACTGTTTCTTCTACTGGGATTAAACGACTCCCCCTTTACGCTTAATCAATCATATGCTGAAGTATCTTTGCAAAGCAAAGGGGACGTGGGGACAGATCGCGTCTTTGGTACTTAGACTCCTCCAAGAACCGGCTTCCCACGCCCCTGGCTGTTGAGACCCCTGAGCGGGACCAGTCTTGGCAGGCGGGTGTAGAGGAAACACTGCACGTGCATCCCAAGCATCAGAGCCAGGGCACCCACCATGGGGATTCATTGTCTGCTTCTGTATACATTTGAAATTTTCCATAATTAAAAAATTTTAAAGACTACTCTATTGAAGGTGAAGAAAAATGAGCCCAAAGGGTTATGATTCAGGCATACTAAAATGGTTATTTTAACAAAGGCTTAATTTTTAAGCTCATTTCCAGAGAGCAATAATTATCTGACATTTTATAAACCGGTATGATTAGTATTTAATTCTTTGTATGCTAACACAGGGGAAGCCCTGGGATCACGTCTCTCTGGTTTTCATGGCAGATAACCAGTTTTGCCCCACAGAGAAGTACCACACCAGCCCCTGGAGTCGGCCTGGTGACTCAGGAGAAAGGTAACGTAGCCCTGATGTCTGAGTTTCAGATGGAGGAAAATGCATCCGTTATGAAGCCTGCCATCAGCTGAGAGGAACAGACGTGTAGTTGTTGAAATAACCACATGCCAGAGAGAAAGGAAATAGAGTTGCCAGCTAAAACTAGGCAAAAAATAACCTTCAATAACCTTTTCAAGTAACAGCAGGGTTTGTGTGTGTGTGCCTGACCAGAGATTACAAAGTTAGACAACATAAATGCAGACTAAAGACAGTCGTATTTTGATGGCTGTTATCAAAAACACATGCCAGTGGGGCCCCTGGAGACCAGCCCTCAAATCCAAAGGTGGTGCTGGCTGATGTACAACCTTCCACACAGTTTTCGAGGACCCTGACAGGGTTAGAAGGGACAGAGGAAAGATGTTGTGACTGATACTCTTTACCCCAAGTTGGATGCCAGCACCCTGAATCTAAAGGGTTGGAGTCCAAGAGAATGTTTAGGCTTTCCAGGAGTAAAGCCCTATGTTCCCCTCCATCTGTCCATCCACCTATCTGTACGTCCATCCATCTACCCATCCACCCACCCATCCGTCCACCCATCCACCCACCCACCCATCTGTCCACCCATCTACCTACCCACCCATTTGTCCATCCACTCACCACCCATCCATCCATCCATCCACCCACCCGCCCATCCATCCACCCATCTACCTACCCATCCATCCATCTGTCCATCCACCAAGCCACCCGTCCATCCACCCATCCACTCAAAAGAAAAACAATACTTATTGAGAACCTACACATGAAGAGTAAGGTACAGCAATCCTTGTCCTTGAGTTGCGCACAGTGAGGCAGAGAAATAAAAAGCTCAAGTCACTATAATTCAACAGGGGAAGCAGGAGGGATGTGTAAGGGTCTGTGTGAACCTGCAGAGGGGGCACCCACGTCTGAAGGGCTTGGTTGTTCATGACGGGGATGGCGAGACCCACAGGCGTTTGTCATGCTGTGGGGCTTAAAGAGATCACAAGCAGGCGATCTTCACGCAGAAAGCAGGTTTTCAGAAAGAGATTCACGGGAATGATTGCAAAATCTTTTAAGTTCTCAAACTGGGAACTTTCAGTGAAAGTAATTTCTTGTAATTTAAGAGCAGGTGGCCTTTCTGTTCTCGTCAGTCACAGATGGGACTTTTTAGGGAGTCATTTTGCTTCTATGGCTATAACAGGTCTGCGCACACACCCATTTCCAGAGAGCAGCAGGGGTGAGGCTGACTTAGAATGGGAGGAAGCAAGAGAAGAGAGAAAAAGAAGACACTGGCAGAGTTTTCAATGGTGCCTTAACTTGTAAAGCTATTGGCTAGGCCGGAGGCACTTTAAGAGGCTGAGAGAAGAATGACTATCAGCACGGGGTCTCATCCACTCTTCCCCCACGTGACACCCCTCTTGTACTAAAAGCTCAAGAGACCCAGGGAGACGAGGCACAGCAGGGCCCCGCTGTCCTCTGTAACACAAGTACCACACATTTCTGGAGTCCACTAAGCTGCAGGGGGGCTCACGTGTCCACAAAACTTACCCGGTAAACAGGGTGTTAGGCGCTAAATCTCACATCTCTTTGACAAGCTGGCTGCTTGAGTGCTAAGTTCCATGATGGGCAAAGACTAAGAATCAGGGTAAAGGGTTTCCAGCAGAGTCAGGACCCGGGAAACACTCTGCCGGGTCTAATGGCCGTCCGCCAGCGCGTCCCTTGGGATGTCAAGGCAGAAAAGGGTAATGAAGATCCGGGGAGTCCGCTGAGCAAACCAGCATTGTGTCAGGCGGTACACGGCAGCATCAGAAACAGGAGCCACTCGCTTTGGAAACCAAACCCCATCGGTATCCTGAGCACCAGGGGCACATAACTTCAAGGGAATCTGGGGTTTGAGCTCAGTGCGCTGCAAACACAAGCAGGTGACGAGGGACACGTGTGGCCTCGCTGAGCCTTCACCCCGATTACCAGCCATCTTCCGGTCATCGCACCCGCCGTTAAGCCCTCTTGCTCAGTACCCCTTGGTGTGGGTCCCATCCAGCTTGATGGCTGCTTGAGCGCAAGGGCGGGGGTGGGGGGTGAGGGGAGGAGGAGGGAGAGGCTGACAAGCGGCGTGTGCACAGTTTGCGTGAATCACGACCGGGACAAATAACGCTCTGCAAAGGGTCTCGACCCGGGAGACCCGGAAAGGGTACGGTAGTCACCTGCAGACTGAGCTGCTAGGTGACAGTTATTACGTCGGGTGTCAGGGAATGCACGATCTCTGCGAGGAAGGTTTACTGTTCCGTACTCACTGCAGAGGCTGTGTGTGCCACTGTTAAAAACAGCATTTAACAAGGAAAATCACAACCTGCTCTATGAGGTGGGAATTCTGGGGCCTCGACCCCCTATTTATGCATTTGTCGTGATCTGTAACTGGCTTGACCATTCCTGCAGACGCACGTCTTGGGCCTGCTCCTCAGATTTTCAGGGGACTAGATGCTTGCCACATTCTCGCAGGAATTGCAAACTCGAACTCACGGCCATCCGGCCCTGATAACCAGAGCACGCTGGGAAACAGACAAGAGGGCACACTGCTCCTTCAACAGTCTAAATGTTGCACATGCATCAGGCCAAACCACTGGGAAGCCACGTATTTAGATTTTACTGCTTTAATCCCCTGCAGAAATTGCTTTTGCCGGAACATTCTCCCGCTGCCAGCCTGAGGCACGGTTTAGAAATCCGCTCCAATTGAATACTGTGCGTCCCGTAAGCATGGTGGTACTTAACTTAAGGACTCTGACGGACGTCATACTTCTTCTACGGAGGCCACGGGGATGGTGCTCCCCGTATTAGTACGAGGGGAAGGGGAGCATCTTCTAAAACACGTTTGCTGCCCTATTTACCTGACTTTTGTCACCAATTGCGAGTTCTGTTTTGCTCTGGCTGCCAGGGAGGGAGGAGGGAGGAGTGCGGCTCACGGCCGTGCCACCGCGTACTGATCGCACCGTTCCTGTCCCTTCAGTTCTGTTACATTAGCCTTTTTGTGAGCTGCCTAGTCCTGCTGGCGTTTATCGTCTGAGAGAGTCTGACACACACCCACACGTACACGAAATAGCATCCACTCCCGTGGTGCCACAGCACTGCGTACGGGCCTTGGGCCTCTGGGTCCGTTCAGAGCCCAGCAGTGCTCACAGGATCGGCTGTTGCTCTTGTAAAAAAAACGTACTTTCTAGGCCACGAGGGCTCTGTGAGGATCATTTCGGTGGGAGAGGGCGTGTGTGATAACCCAAGACAAAACAGAAGAGGGGTGGTTGTCTTCTGCAGCATGACGCATGGCGGGAAACAGAGACTAACGTCAGGCTGGGCTCAAATCCCACACCTGCCGCTGACCACCTGCCCGGACTTTCCCCATCCACAAGAGAGGCCAATAGTAGGATTTAATTCATGACATTATCACAAGGACTTAAGGAAACAGTCCAGTGTCTGGAACACATCCTGACAAATCCAACAAAACCCAACAAACACCAGCTATGAATCAGCTGCGGGAATTCGGTCTCTTCAGAGTCTTTGGGGAGGGAAGGTTAAAAGGTCAACAGCAAAGGTGGGAAAGGAAGGACCAGAAGCCGTGGAGTCGCGGCACTGCTCTCCCGTGAGCGTGGTTACCACACAGCCATGTGTGCACAGAAGCCACGGGCGCCACGGTGGCAGGGCTGCTGGGGGGGGGGGGGGGGCGATGTGTCGCACATGCTAAACAGGGCTGTGCACGTTTACTCCTTGAGAGTTAACTTTCCATACGAGACAGGCTGTGACTCGTCCACAGTTTCCGAATAATGAACTGAGAGCTGTAGAAGAGAAGAAAATAAGGCAAACAAAGACTGACCGCTGATTAAGACACTTCGGTTTGTTTGTAGGTGGCCAGTGACTTTGGTCTGTTGGAGCCGGGCAGACTGAAGATGGCCCTCACAGAAAACCCTGGTGGCCCGACCAGCAGGAGATGCAGTCTTTCAGGATGAGGAGGAGAGTCACGGGGCCCAGAGGTGACCTGGGTGAGCCGCTCAGTTCACAGAAGGTATGTGAGTCAGCATGGTGGGCGCTGGCCCTGTGGCCCCCAAGAGCCCCGTCTGCTTCCCTGAGAAGCCCCGTGGCCGGGGTGCTGGGGCGTCAGGCTCGCTCTTAGGAGACACGTGGTCAGGTTTCCAGCAAAGCAGGGACTTCAGGCTAAGTTAAGAGTTACGCTAGGAGACCGGTGAGCGCCTTCCCTGCTGCTGGGACGGGTGCACAAGTGGCCCCGAAGGCAGTCTCAACTCGGAGAATCTGCCTCTGAGCACACGGAGCTGACAGCCCTTCCAGAGCCCGGAGGCCAACCCCACGTTTTCTGGGGCTGACCTCTCTCGGCTCCAGAGACCAAGAGCAGAGGGCTTCTTGTGTTGTATCCTCTGTCCTCAAGGGGTTTAGAGTTCAGGGCACCCTGGACTGGAGCGCTCTCCATCTACACACCCACATGCCTCGATGTCCCCTTCCCTAGCCTGTGCCCTGAATCTGCCACAAAGACCCGCTGGTTGACTGCCTGGTTAGGCCGCGGACAGCGCCTCAGTAGGCAACAACAGAAGTGGCTCGGAAAGGCAGAGCACGACCACAGAAAGGAAACATGCTGTGAAATTAAGACAAAAGACTGGACAGAGAACAGGGGTAGGAAAGAAAGAGTTCTTTATTGAAGAACATGGGGGCGCAGAGGCACCTGCATCCGAGGAGGTAGGAGTGTGGGGCGCCGGCCTCTGGCGGGTGGTCCCCGGGACTCAGGCACCAGGAACACTTACGTTCCAGCGGTTACCACGTCAGCAGGGAAAGGACTTTCAAAAATCTAATCTTATTTGCTGCAAATGAATTTCAGTTTTGCTTTACATACCCTTGCATTGTCTATACTGCACATGGATTTAATCGCAGGTAAACTCCACAGGGTCTCCCCTCCAGCTGCTGTGAACACCACTCTGGAGTACCGGTCGCCTGGTGACATGAAAAAAGAAAAGAAAAAGGTTATAACTGCCCATCAGACTCCGCTTTCAGGAATAGCTCGAACGGGAAAACACAAGTCAGTAACAGCAGGGGATCCTTTCCCCATTTTCCAGGAGAAAAATGTAAAAAAAGAAAGGAACCAATGCCATAATATTATTTTGGTTCAAAGCCTTTGTCTACTCACTACATCTTAAAAATCGTAGGAGTCATAGAACAAACCTATTTCTGATCAGACTATGATTCGGATGAGCAATCTGTAAGACCTCTCTGCACGAAATTAATTGCACACCTCCCTCTTAATTTCGAAACACGTCACCACAATGGCGTACAAATCCCTGGAAGGCTGTGCTGAACATCAAGCGTGGGTGTTCTCCATGGCTTCAAACCAGGGACGACAGATGCCAGGCGATCAACTTAAGAGTGCTAAAAACAGTCAATCGGGTACCACGGGCTGCCCAGGATCGCCGACTACGCTGCGTTCCAGCTGGGTCCGAAGTCTCCCTGCTACACCAGAGTTGAGAATGAACACTGGGAACATCTCACTAACACAGAGTGTGTTTCTGATTGGTCCGGCTGCGGGACAGACTGGACGGAGCACGGCCCTGGCGGCAGACCTGGTGTGACCAGGTCCCAGCTCTCCGGATGAGCGGCTTCTCTGAGCCTGGGCTCCTGATCTGTAAGCACGTCTCTCCCAGTTGCAAGAATTAAAGGAAAAACAGCACTCGGTAAGGGCTGTTCCTGCCTCCTCAGTCATTAGAACTTCATTCAGTAAAACAGAGTGGATTCACTACGTTATCTGAAATGTGTAACTGTGCTGAAAAAGAAAACCAATCTGCAAATTTGTAAATAAACCTTTACTATGTGAGCTTTTATTCATGATTACGAAGTTTTCTTTAGTAAACTCTTCATCAGATGGCCATTATCTTATGTTGATTGGTTTTGAAGAGCAAAATGAGCCCCTGGAAACAAACACCTCCTCCAGGGAGCCGGCCGGCTTTCCTCCAGGCGGGGCCGAACCGGGGGGCACAAGTGTAGTGTGTGGGCTGCTGACACAGAGGGGCCACATCTCGTGAGTCTGCTGATGTCTGTCCTGATTAGTCAGAAACACATAGCACCACCTGACCTCGAGGAACCAGCCAGGACAGTCGACTGACCAGACTTCGGCTTTTCTAACAAGACGCAGAAAACAACACACGAGTTCCTCCCTGGGACCAGGACAGAAGCCTCCCTGGTCTCCTTCTTTCCATCTCTCGGTTACTGTGCTGTGAAACAGCTTCCAAAGTACAGACCCTCAGGCTGGACAACATCAGCGAGGTCCTCGAGTTCTCTAACGAGACAGGAAAATACACGCTTTAGGGGGAGTGTCAACAGGGAGAAACAGCCGAATTCGGAAGGGCTTTGGGGTCCGTGTTCACTGAAGGAGAAAGCGGAGCTCTGTGCTCACGCCCGCTCTCCAGGGCTGACCGGGCTCCTCCAGGCAGGCCCCTCGCTCGCGGGGAGAAGCTGTTAGTGAATCTGCTGCCCGCGTTCGAACACCTGGCGGTTCTACACGAATGTGTGGGTTCCTGACCTCAGGGAAGCTCTCACGTTTCTTCCAGGCCACGGTCTGTGCAGCCAAGTGGCTACGACCCGGACACGTCCCGTGCACATGTTATGGGTCGGCCCCGTGGGATGGTATTCCGCGCATCCTTCTATCTCTACTGCCTAACAAGGCGCAGAGAAGCTGTCGACAGACGCTTTCTCATGACGTAGAGTATTTCAGGGTTCAATCCAAAGATATGTACTTATTACTTGACTAAAAGTATTTTTTCAATAATATAAGAAATTTAAGAGGACTTGAAATTTGGGGCAACCGGGTCAAGAATTTTACTAGATGTTTTATCTTCCGTAAAACGGAATGGAATTATGCAATAATCTCTCATTGATTTTTACTGTAGGTGAATACGTTCAGGTTAGTGGTTGGCCAGCCCAGAGCAGGAAAACAGCTTCAGCTCCCCCACATCCTCCTCCCCGACTCGGCCTAACCACACTCGTCTCGAATACCGGGAGGCCCGAGGGGCTGTTCACCTGCGAGGCCACTCACTCGGAACGTCGCAGAAAAAGCTGTCCCTGTGGAAGTCCCAGTCGACCTCCCTTTTCTCTCGTTCATAGTGATCATCGGACCACCTGTCGTCCCGGTGGCTGAAAGGGAAGGACAACGTGAGAGGCAGGGACGCGCTGGTGACCGTGCGGGGAAGGCGGTCGACCACGCTGGCACAACGCCGTGTGACGGCCAACGGAGGACTTGCGGTAATAAGAATGTGCAGGGGCGCCTGGGGGGCTCAGTCGGTTAGGCGGCCGACTCCGGCTCAGGTCGTGATCTTATGCTTTGTGGGTTCGAGCCCCGTGTCGGGCTCTGTGCTGACAGCTCAGAGCCTGGAGCTGCTTCAGATTGTGTCTCCCTCTCTCTCTGCCCCTCCCCCACTCATGCGCTGTCTCTCCCCGTCTCAAAAATGAATAAATGTTAAAAAAAAAAGAATTTACAAATAAAGGACTAACTATTTCGAGGCCAGTAAGTGTACCGGTAACGGTGTATCCTGAGTATTCAAGTGCCTATGTAGCACTTGAAATTTAGCATTAATGTAAGCAAGCAACATTCACTTCCTCACTCCTGTAAAAGAAAAAACCCAAACCCTCACTTTCCACTCGAATGCAACAACATCTCAAAAGACAGTGAGAATGCCAACAAATCCAGTGGCAAAGATTTTGAGCCACACGTTTGCATCTAATCATTTTGCTCAGATACTGCTTAAAAGTGGAATTCGTTAAGCAATGTTCTGTGTAAAAGTTAACGAATAATTACCTCTTGGCTTGTTCATCTGCATACTTAAAAGGGTAGTTTGCTAATGTCGCTTTGTATCCCGTGTTTTTCACCATGTTATTCCACGTGACCAGTCTCTGGCCTATCGTAGTCCCTCTTGGTTCAAAGCCCTGAGACAAAATATCACAAACTCTCATTAGTGTACGTCACGTAGGTTGGGTGTAGTTCTAGGAGCGGAAGAGCCAAGTCCACAGACGTGCAGGCCCTCCCCAGTGCCTCCCCACCGCTGCCCCGTGGCCGATGGCACCGAAAGGGTGGCCCGACGTGACGGCAGCCACTGCTCGCCACGACGAGGCAGTGGGGTTGGTTCTCTGCTGCGTTAGCCGTCTCAGCAACAAGGAAAACTCGTATCTGAAGGTTCTCTTTCCAGTTCATACCTAAGCATCCAGCAAACACTTTGATGTTATGAAAACTTACAGTCGCATCAGATTATGTCATGCACGTTAGTGTTTTACAGGAACGTTTACTTAAAAACAGACCCTGCTCTCTCTTAGTAATACTGAAGTTCCTCTAACTCCTTCTGGGTGGAAAGAAGAGACATTCAGTCCTAACGACTTCACAAAAACACTTTTATAGAATGCAGATTCTCCATTTTATTGATTTTTGGCTTAAATGTGGGAGCCAAGAAGCAAAATTTCCAGATTTGTAATGGTGAGTGGGTTCCTTGACCTTTTAAGAGCCTGAAACCACGATGGCACAAGTTTACTCTTCGGAAGGAGAGCTGCACCCCTACCGACAGCTCGAGAAGGTTTTAAAACGGGTCATAATTACATAATGTGACATGCATTAAAATACTGAATTTTCTGAGGTCATTTTGGGCGAAAGAGGTTCGAGTGGCCGTTTTCCTTACCAGCAGTGGGTCGGAGAAGTCGGGCAGCTCGGGCACTAACACCCCGACCAGGGCACAGACGACGATGAACGCGGTACACATGCCCAGGACTACGACGGGCCAGTCGGCGATCAGGGACGCATAACTGCAGAGCAGAGAGGACACAGGAGGCCGCTTAGGAGCGGCAAGAGGGCTCCCTGCCGAAGACAGCGTCTGTGAAATCCTCCTGGTTCAGACCTGGTCCAGGAGTGTGTCAGGGACAGATGCAGTGGGAGAGACACACGGCACTTCAGACGTCCATCTGCTCCTCGGGAGACCAGCTACGGTCCACACGCCTGCATGGAAGGAGGTGTGGGGGGGCAGAGGACCCAGCCCCCATCTCCTCAGACCCGTTTCTCTCTGTCCTGTGCTCTGTCAGCTCTCAGAAAAGAGCTCAGCCCACAAACAGGCTCACGTACCCATGTCTCAAGAATAACCAAGCCAGGGGCGCCTGGGGGGCTCAGTCGGTCGAGCATCTGACTTCGGCTCAGGTCATGATCTCATGGTCTGTGGGTTCGAGCCCCGCGTCAGGCTCTGTGCCGACAGCTCGGAGCCTGGAGCCTGGAGCCTAATTCGGATTCCATGTCTCCCTCTCTCTCTCTGCCCCTCCCCTGCTCATGCTCTGTGTCTCTCTGTCTCTCAAAAATAAATAAACGTTAAAAAAATAATAACCAACCCCAGACCTCCCCACACACCTGCTGCTGTCCTTCCAGCGAAAACTATAATGAGTGTGTCAGACTGAGCCCCACGAGGGCGAGATGTGCATTTTCTTCACTCAGTTAGTATAGCATCAGTGCCCTCTCTTCACCGTGTAGCCGTGGCAGCCTGGCCTCCGTCTCCCCTCCTGTCACCAAACTGCCACCAGAGCCATGTCCTCCAGGCGCCCCTCCCTTCCGTAGGACCCTGGACCTCCCTGACCTGACATCTGCAGGTCTCATGTGAACTCTGTGCTCAACAGAAGTTGACTGAATGGCATTTTCTAAAATTCAAGACGTATCTTGCCAACTTGAGGTTGAACTTGAGGTTGGCAAGAGAGAAAAAAGAAGCATTTCACTTATGGACAGTTACCCTCAAATCCTCAACAATGTTAGCTCCCTTGGCCGTGCCGATGGCTATTTCTGGCTCCTTACTCAGGTATTTGTGGGTTATTTCCTCAAAACCAGGCCAGTGGTTTCACGAAGCTGGCGGCTGCAAACGTCAATCTGAAGGAAGACGTCGTTGGCTCATGTTCACATTCCCATCACTCGACCCCATGGGTCTGGCCTTCTGGGGGGACTGACTTTAAATTACATTTTAACAAGGAAATCAAAATACAACATAATTACGCTTCAAGGGAGCACCGCCCCGGGTGATTCTCAGCCCTGCGGTCCTCAAGGTCACCACCTCCTTACGAGGAGCGCTAGCTGTTCTCAGGCTCTACCTGTAGCACCTCACTTAAGTCTTCAGCTTTACGAGATGCAGTGAGGCACGAGCAACTTACACAACGGTCCAGAGTCACGACACCAGCCCAGCTACAAAGTACGGCAGCCCCGGGGGTGTGTCGCAGCACAGTGACCACGGTCAGTGACGCCGTGTGCGCAACCGGGAGCCGCTGTCAGAGCAGATCTTAAGAGACCTCATCACAAGAAAAGAAAGTCCTGTAAGTCCGTGTGGTGGCGGATACCAGCCAGACCGACTACTGTCATCACCTCACAGTATCTACAAGTACTGGGTCGTTACGTTGTGCACCTGACGCTAATATAATGTCATGTGTCACTTATAGTTCACAAAAAGGTCACAAATGGGAGCCCCGGAGTCTGGTTTGAGTCGGGCCTCCTAACCACCATGGTGTCACCTCTCGCCCTGAGCACAAGGGAATAAGTCTACTTGGCAGAGTAGAATGTGGCTCCCCCAAATTCACATTTTAAATTAAATTCCCAAGTCACACGAACAGTTAATTTCATGATGCAAAACCACACAGGTCCACAGGCCTCTGATTCTGAACGCTGTTCTCGAAGCTCCAAATGCTGGATTTAAAAACTCACTGAAGTAAAATTAATGCGAGGTACCACAGAACGGGCTTGTGAACGTAATTCTGGATGTGATGAAGCCACCGAGTCACAGACGCGGACTGCGGCTGTCCGAGCGCGAACGCCGTTTCGAGAACACACCAGTGCTGAGGACCTGCACGTTTAACTCCAGCTCCACCAGATGCAAACTGAGATCTCCGGAACTGGGCCCTGTGTCAACAGCACATTTGAGACTTTCTGTTCATGGATTCAGACTTAAAAAGGGTCCTTTACATTTAGACCTTGGAAGTACCAGCCCTGGGAAGTGGGAAGAGCCCAGACTTGACTTTAAGTGGCTCATTCTTCACTCGAATCACCAGCAGTTGTTCACTGCCACCTACAAACACGCTGTCGACGCGGGTGGTGGGCGCCCCAAGTGCTTGGCGTCCACACTGTGGGCTAATTTACCCGTGGGCTTTTTGTTTTGCGTTCTTGAAAAACCTGCACACACAGGCACCGCAGTCTTAAAACCCTCCTCAGCAATGGTTTCCCTTCCCCGTGACAACATCTGGTTCAAACCCCTCCCTATGAGAACATCTGGCTCGGACCCTTGCCCGCGACCACGTCTGGACTCTTCCAGTGAGAACATGTGGTCTGGACCCTTCCCGGTGGCGACGTCTGGTTTGGATCCTGCAGCACCGTCCCACACCAGGTATCGCGCTGACTGCGCGTGGACGCCACACGGCACCCGTGACTCCCACCTGCGCCCTCCCGGCGTCCCGGAGCGCTCCCCGCCGACACGGCACACGCTTCATGTGCCCACCCTGCCCAGGGACCACTGCTCATGTGCCGCGAGCTCCGTGGGGAGAAGACCCGACTCTTCTGGGGAAATTACACCCCGACAAGCGTTTCTCCTCTATCCCACGTTGGTGTCAGGGTCTGTGCTGGAGTCCGAGGGGCTGTGGACACCACACGGGAAACAGAAGCTTCACGTACAGGAGGAAGCCCAGATGGTGGTTGTAATGTTAAGATAAAAGCCTAATAAAACAGGATAATTTCAGCAGGAAAGGAAATTAAATATGGCCCAGAAATGTCACTGCTACATTTTCCACTAACTGCAGTCCTAGTGAGTCTGGGTTCAAGGTCTATGTTCTAACTACATTACAAGAACAAAGCACCCGCACATCACGTTTCTGAAGGGTGAACCGCGTGCTCAGGAGAAGACCCATCAAAGGACCCCTGGTGCCACTACAGCGCGTCCTCCTGCGTGGCACGGGATAGCGTCTCACGTCTGCCCGGATTCTGGGGCTCTGCATATGACACCCGCGTCTGTCCCCTGCCCAGCAGGCCCCGTGTGAGGCCGCGGCGATGCCCGGGCGCCGTGCGCAAGAGCTCACGGCACCTTCCCAGGAGGGCTGAGAGTCAGAAGGTATGCGCCCCTGCTACAGGACGGGAGGGGGACGCCGCAGGGCAGGGCCACCCACACGTGTCTGTGGCTGAACTGTGCCCTGGACAGACAGGCCTCCTTGCAGTCTTCACAAGCGACCCTCACCACACTCCCAGACGTCAGCCACTGTGTTAGTGGGCTTCTCCGGGGAAGAGCAGGTATTTCCCATCGGTCCGAACAAATGAGCAAAAGCCTCACAGGGTAACTTATGCTGGTGACACCGTGGGGCCCGTCCTCCCATCATGGGGCCTCCGCTGCTCGGCAACACCACGGGCCTGTCCTCCCCCAACAGGGCCTCCAATAGTGGTGACACCGTGGGGCCTGTCCTCCCACAACAGGGCCTCCGATGCTCGGCAACACCACGGGCCTGTCCTCCCCCAACAGGGCCTCCAATGGTGGCGACACCGTGGGGCCTGTCCTCCCACAACAGGGCCTCCAATGCTCGGCGACACCACGGGGCCTGTCCTCCCACAACAGGGCCTCCACAGGGCACTTTCCTCTCTCAGCTCACAAAGATGCCTTCCTCTGCCTGCCCCCCCCCCCCCCCGCCCCTGCCGGCTCTCTGGGAACAGTCTCTCCTTTCTCCCCTTACCCTGAGCAGAGAACATGAGCGCCCTGGACACAGGCCTCTCCCCGATGGAACACCCAACCCTGAGTCCCTCAGCCTGGCTTTGTTCCCGTGACTCTTCTGAACCTGCCGAAACTGCGAACTAGTCCGGGTCCTTGGCCTCCCTGAACTGAGCAGTTACCCTTTCTTCCGGAAAATCTCTTTCTCCTTGGTTTTTCCCCTTCCAGTTTCCTTAGTAACTGCTCCGTATCCCTCTTGTCCTTGGGGTTAGGATCAAAATGTTATTAATCATAATTTTTCCCACGGCATCAGCTATCAGTTTAGTGGGAAGAAAGAAGCTTGAGAAACTTCCCCAAAGCAAAGAGGACATAGAACTCTTTCTTTGTTGGGAAGAAATAAATACACTGCACAGGTAGCATCACAGATCAAGGGCACGGGCATCTGGGAATACACACGGCAGACACGAATCTCACCCTTAAGGAACTTGGAACCTGATACCGAAAATCAGACAACTTGACAAATACAAAACCAGGTAGAGAGATATGTGTTTTTAGAGGGATACAGATGAACGTTTTGTGAATTCAGCAGAGATGACTTCCAGCTACAGTGGGGAAGGGAATCAGGAAAGGCTTTTCTGAAAAAGTTGTATTTGTATGCGTATATGCTGAAAAGAAGAAATTAGGACTTCTCAAAATACCAATCTAGTAACAGGAAAAATATGTATGAATCTTTTCAAAACGCAAAAATCCTTAGAAAGGGCTTTCTTATTTGTGGAAAACGAAATTCATTCTCCTGACCTGTCATATTTACTTGTATAACTTCTTTCCTTTATCTTCTGCCACAATTCTGTCTGTAAAGGGGAATAAACAAAAAGTGTATACGCATACAACGGAATATCACTCGGCCTTAGAAAGGAGGGAAATTCTGACACCTGTTCACATTGGACAAACCTGGAGGGCAGCACCTTGAGCGAGGTCAGCCAGTCTCGGCAGGACGAACTCTGAGTGATTCCACTCACAGGAGGGGTCGGCTGGCCCGGTTCACAGAGATGGAGACTAGAGCACTGGGGGAGGGCGGATGGGGAGCCACTGTTTCTGCCTCGCAGGACGGAAGAAGCTCTGGACGTGGCGGTGGCCACGGTGGCGCAATAACGTGGACTTTAATGCAATGAAGCCGTGCACTTAAACGTGGTTAAAATGGTAGATTTTATGCCGTGTATATTTTACCGCAATTTCAAAAAATAAATAATTTTTAAATGGAAAGGGAATTTCCTAATTAAAATTTATGTAGTAATTGCACTTGGAAGAGAGGATCAGGCCCCCTGACCAGGCTTCGGTTATCAGGGCCTCGGTTCCTCTTGCGGGTGCACTGCAGAGATCACTTGGTTTCCCACGATGCACCAGTCTGCCACGTGGGACCACCACGGCAAGCACGCCACTGAGGAGACAAGGCTTTGGCTTTTTTGCAGAAACAACGTTCCACCTAAAATTCTGCTTTTCTACTGAAAAGACAAACCTTCAAAGTTTCCACCTCAAATACTACCTCCATTTGAATACGGTGACATTTTTAGCAGGAAACACAGACAACCCGCCCGAAATCAAGCGCCACAAGCCCAGGGCAGGGCAGAACAGTCTTTCTCCAAGACAAGGAAGACCAGGAAGGAATGAGAGGCACCTCGGCCAATATAAACGATTCACCACAAACGGAATCTAAACCTTGAGATCAACACCAGCTCTGGAGAGGGAGGATCGCTCCGGCAGCCAGCTCAGGGGAAATTTACTTTTCCTTCAGAAAAATATGAATGAGAGAGGCCGAAGCAGCGTGAAGAAAACACTGCAGGGAAGGGCATGCAATCACTTTACTACTTAATAAGATGATCAGATTACTTTACCTTTTTGGTAACTTGAAAGGTCTGCATGGTCTGAAAAAAAAAGCAAAGGAAAACCAATCAGAAACGTGGCATCGTAACAAAGGTGTGCTCGCGGCATCTCGACTGTTCGGGCTGCTGTGGGAGTGGCGGAGGTGGGGCGAGGGGAGGGTGACCCAGTGGCTGCCGGGGCCGGGGCCGGGGCCGGGATGGTCCGCACCCCGCAGGGGTCAGGGTCATGGCGCCTGTGCCCAGGGGTTCAAGCCTGCGCCCACACTGCCGCCCGGCTCTTCCGGGCCCCGGCACCTTCTTGTACCAGCAGCCCTCTACTCCCCCAGGACGGGAGCGGCTCCTCCGTCCGTCAGTTTCCTTGCATCCGCTTAGCACCTGTCGGCTCCTCCCTCTCAGCCTCTGCCACCCACTCCCTGCCCCGACACGCGTGGAGCAGGCGTCTGGAGAGCCCCAAACTGGACGTGGTCTCAACCCCCGTGCACTCTATTCCTCCCACACTAACTTTTTCCATGGTAAGCGCTCAGTCAACATTCGGTGAGCCAACAAAATTCACCAGTGCTGTCGCACTCCCGCGCACAGCGGTTCTCACGGTGGGGGTTCCTGAGACCCTCCCCGGGCCCGAGGGGAGGCCCTGTTCCGACTGGATGAGGGAGGGCACACGGCCAGGTCTCTTGACTTCGCGTGTCTCACCAAACAGCACAGCGCACAGACTGCAGAGGCAGATGTGAGAGTCCTGTGTCTTCAGTTAGAAGACACCAGACAGATTTACTCGCCTCATTAAATTGTTCTTTGGTTTGGAAACTAGAATGATTTTTCATAACAAATGTTGTGTTAACATGTAAAGAGCTTATTACTGGTATTTTTAAATGAGTTAACAATATTTTATTATTTTAATGTTTATTTATTGAGAGTGGGGGGCGGGACAGAGAGAGAGGGAGAGAGGGGGGGGGAGAGAGAGAGAGAGAGAGAGAGAGAGAGAGAGAACCCTAAGCAGGCTCCAAGCTGTCAGCGCAGAGCCCTATGTGGGGCTCTAACCCACAAACTGTGAGCTCATGATCTGAGCCAAAATCAAGAGTTGGATCCTTAACCAACTGAGCCCCCAGGTGTCCCATCGATTAACATTTTAAAAGTTTTAATTCCAGTGTGGTCGTACCAGATATAACCTGAATAAATAAAAGCTCTTTGGGACCCTTGATGATTTCTGGAAGCATAAAGGGGTCATGACATCAGGACGTTCGATACCCGATATGCTAACTTCAGGTACGTACCTGTCTGTTGGATAAATGAGTGAATTTCCTGGCTGGGCACCCTCTCCTAGACCAAAATCTTGTGCGAGCTTCCTGTGCTTTGAGGAAACACAAACTCTGTCTCCCACCCTCTGGGCTCCTCCGGTCTGGGGGCTCTGGCTTGTACGCACACACCTAAATTCTGATGATTTCCCCCCAAATCTTCTACAATTGTTTCTCTCATGCCCAGGTATTACATGCCCAAAATTACAAAAGATAAATTTTGTAATAATTTACCTTTATCTGATCTTTTCCCATTTGCGTTTCACAAAAACAAGTCTTTCTTTTTAGAACCTGTATGTAAATGGATTCTTTAAAAATTCAATCAGAGGACACAAGGACAAAGACAGGCACAGCTCGGGTTTGGTCGGCGCACTCATCAGCCGCGAGGCACAGAGGCGCGTGGATGCTGTGGAGCGTGGCCTCGGACCCCCTGCACACACGGCCGGGGGCCAGGAGCCACGCCGCTGAGCTGGTTACTACTCGGGGCACCCGGGGGGCTCAATCAGTTAGGTGTCTGACTCCTGAGCTCAGCTCAGGTCTCCATGTCGGGGTTGCATTGGGCCCCATGCTGGGCATGAAGCCTGCTTTAAAAAAAGTAAAATGGTTACTACCTAAGGAGGAATGAAGAACATTTAATTTTGGGGGTAAATCTACCCCAAACCCAAAATACTATATATTCAATATAATTATATATTTTTTTTCTTAAAATTTTTTTTTTAACATTTATTTATTTTTGAGACAGAGAGAGACAGAGTGTGAGTGGGGGAGGGGCAGACAGAGAGGGAGACACAGAATCCGAAACAGGCTCCAGGCCCTGAGCTGTCAGCACAGAGCCCGACGCGGGGCTCGAACCCATGGACAGTGAGATCATGACCTGAGCCCAAGTCAGATGCCTAACCAACTGGGCCACCGAGACGCCCCCATTATATATATATTTCAATATAAGTTTTATTGAGATATAATCCCCAAACCATACATATGATCCATTTAAAGTGTACAAGTCAGGATTTCTCGTGCCTCCACAGACCATCTTTAAAGAACGTGCTGCCTGAACACCAGCGATGAAGCTACTCATGACTCATGAGCTTGGAGAGAAAACCTAGAGACAGAGCAGGAGAGCAAGGTGCCAAACAAAGGAGCAAATCACATAACTTGTACTCAAAACCTTAACGTTTCACCCCGTTTTTAGGTCCTACGCTGTCAAAACCACCTCCTGAATTTCCATGAGAACCAACTAGACTTCGTGTCTTTAGGTCTGAAGTGACCTCGGAGCCACAACCTGGAGCAGCTGGGAAGACATGACATTTTCTTAGGTATGTTTTGGGTTATAACAAACGTAAATATTCTCTTTCCTCCTACTCACCCCACTAACTTTTTTTTAAACAGATAAATTCATGGGTCTATGACTAGTTTATTCCTTAGGGGCTGAAACAACCAGACTCATCACTGTCTTTCTGCTTGCATAAAGACTTCATTTTATGTTAAATTTGGGAAAATAAGTGGAGATTGTCACATCTGTTGAAAAAGAAAACTTGGGGTTACTACCAAGTAACCTCCTGGGAAGCCACAAAATCCCTCTGAACCTTTTATCTTAGGGGACACGACAGTCAGATGTCAGAAACATCCGAAATACACCTACAGGTGGAGCCGGGACCCGTCGGAGCTGCATTGTGGTCGCGGAAGTGCCCGTGACACTTCATCCACCGGGGCGATCTTCCCCCCCTGGCGACATCTTTCCGATTTGCTGCTTTTAATCTCCAATAGAGCCTGCAGGATGATTTTTCACCTAAACTCGGCCTTGGGTTGATAAATAACAACTGCTAAAAACAAATCTAGTCTCTTTTACAGAGTGAAAGTCTTTTTCCAGAGTTCATTCACCTGTTAATACCATGTGGTCAAATGCACGCCCCCAACCAAACATAGTACCTCTGCCTGTTCTTTGGTTAGGTTTTCAGCCTTTTTCAACTGAGTAAAACCCCAAGGCAGGTGGCATTTGCTCGGTGACACGGTCACAAGGATACACTGGGGGCTGGGCACAATTCCCAGAGGGCTAGCTGGGGTCCCTCCCTCTCCCGTGGGAGAAAGTGTTTCTGCACACAAGTGGGGGACAGTGACATTGCTATGGGACGAGGCTCCCATCTGCTTAAGAAGCACTTACAACTCGGGTCGGGTACAACTCGGGTCGGGTACCGGTAACGAGCCGTAAGCCGTCCCCGCACCTGACCCCTGAGAACAGGCGCAGCCGCGAGAGCCTGGGCTCCAGGATCCCGTGGCCAGCGAACCGTGCTGTGTGCACAGCCCTCGGTCAAGGGTACAACGTTCCCACAAAGGAGGCCAAGGGGTGCAGAGCATGGTGATAACCATAATGGGGTTGAGGCGGAGAGGCAAGGGAAGTTTTTAAAAAAGGTAACAGAAAAAAAAGTATGAGAGAAAAGTTAACAAGAAACAGAAGAAAATGCGGAGAGGCTACACATGGTGTTTCCTTGTTTCCCTCACCTTTTAGCTCTCTTAGTAATGTCTGAGGAGAGAGTGGGAGGCCGTAGGGAGGGGGAAACGAGCAGGAACCGTGAACGGTAGAACCTGCAGTGTGCACGTGATGCTGTGGTCACACGAGCAGAGCCGCCGTCGTCACCACTCGTCACTGTGACGGCACCGCTGGCCGTGCTCCCCGTGCTGTGACTGTCCTCCCCGGACCCCCTCTCCCTGCACCCCTCCCCTCCAGCAACCACGTGTGTTCTCCGGGTCGATGGATCTGTTTCTGCCTTTGTTTGTTGTGTTTTAGAGTCCACAAAACCATACGGTATTTGTCTTTCTCTGATTTATTTCACTGAGCATAATACCCTCTGGTCCATCCACGTTGTTATAAATGGCAGGCTCTCACCCTTATTATGGCCGAGTGATATTCTAGTGTGCACGTGCACGTTTCTACATACCACATCTTTCTTTAAATTATTTTTAAAAACTGCAGTATCTTCTTTATTTAAATAATCTCCACGCCCAATGTGGGGCCTGAATACACGACCCCGCGATCAAGAGTCGCATGTTTGGGGCACCCGGCGAGGCTCGGTTGGAAGAACGTGTGACTTTTGATCTCGGGGTTGTGACTTCAAGCCCCACGTTCAGTGTAGAGACCACTTAAAAATTAAAAAAAATCTAGGGGCGCCTGGGTGGCTCAGTCAGTTGAGCGTCCGACTTCCGCTCAGGTCACGATCTCGCGGTCCGTGAGTTCGAGCCCCGCATCAGGCTCTGGGCTGATGGCCCAGAGCCTGGAGCCTGCTTCCGATTCTGTGTCTCCCTCTCTCTCTGACCCTCCCCCGTTCATGTTCTGTCTCTCTCTGTCTCAAAAATAAATAAATGTTAAAAAAAAAAAATTTTTTTTTTAATTAAAAAAATCTTTAAAAAAAAAAAAAGGCACGTGCTCTACTGACTGAGCCAGCCAGAGGCCCCATTACCACTTCTTCATCCACTCGTCTGTCAGCTGTCACTCGGGCTGCTTCCAGACCCTGGCTACTGTAGATGACGCTGCCATAAACACAGGGGTCCACACATCCCTTCAAATTAGTGTTTTCATTTGCTTTGGGTAAATACCCAGTAGTGTGATTACTACTAGGGTACTTCTATTTTTAACTTTTTGAGGAACCTCCACACTGTTTTCCACAGTGGCTGCACCAGTCTGCATTCCCACCAACCGTGCACGAGGGTTCCTTTCTCCCTGCATCCTTGCCAACACCTGTGGTTTCTTGGTTGTTTCTGGCCATCCTGACAGGTGTGAGGTGGTATCTCATGGCGGTTTTGATCTGTGTTTCCCTGATGATGAGCGACATTGAGCATCTTTTCATGTGTCTGTTAGCCCTCTGGATGTTCTTCATGTATTTTGGACACTAACCCTTTATCAGAGACCACATTTGTGAATATCTTCTGGGAGCCTTGTCATTCTGTTGACAGTTTCCTTCACTGTGCAAATGCTTTTTTATGGGGAGGGGCAGCAAAAAAAAAAAAAAAAAAAAAAAAAGGCTTGTTATTTTGGTGTAATCCTAATAGTTTATTTTTGCTTTTGTATCCCTTGCCTCGGGGGGACGTATCTAAAAAAGTGTTGCTAAGGCAGATGTCAGAGAGTTTACTGCTAATGTGTTCTTTCTGGATGCTTATGGTTTCAGGTCTCACTTTTAGGTCTTTAATTCATTTTGAGTCTATTTTTGCATACTGTGTGAGACAGTGGTTTCATTCTCATGTCGCTGACCAGTTTTCCCAACACGATTTGTCGAAGAGACTCTTCCCCGTTGTATACTCTCGCCTCCTCTGTTGGAAACAGACCCTACAAGCCTGGGTTTATTTCCGGGCTTTCCATTCTGTTCCACTCCTTTTTTTTTTTTTTTTTTTTTTTTTTTTAACTGAGGTAAAACTGACATAATATTATGTTAATTTCAGGAGCGCAACCTAATGATTCCATATTTGTATACATCAAAAATGACCACCAGAAATCTGGCTAACATTTATATAGCTTTGCACATTTCTGAACAATTAAAACCCTTGAAGGAAATATACTTTCTGCTTCATGACAATAACCAAATGTCAGTAAGAAAGTGCCCTTTAAAGTACCACATTTTGTCTCAATAGTCCCACTGGATTGTGCCTTTTTGTAAAAGGGCAGCGTGCAAATAACAACTTTTCAGTTCAGCGCTGAACTTCCATGCACCAGAGCTGATGTGTAAGGTCTGTGCCACGGGGTAACACCCACAGCTGCCTGGGTGATGGATCTCCTGAAGGCTCGGTGGACGTGACCAAGTGCACGTCCGTCCCACGCACCCTGGGACTACACACAAGTACAAAATACACCAGGCGGGCGGCGAAAGGGCCGGCAGAGGAGGACTGACATTACAGAGCATCTAACAAACAGCAAGCACTTTGTACATGTTAAAGAGGATATGTAGCATATTTTTCCCTTTTTTTAAAAAAAATATAATTTATTCTCCTATTGGCTAACATACAGTGTGCTCTTGGTTTTGGGGTAGATTCCCATGGTTCATTGCTTCCATACAACACCCAGTGTTCACCCCAACAGGTGCCCTCCTCAATGCCCATCACCCACTTTCCCCTCTGCCACCCCCCATCCACCCTCAGTTTGTTCTCAGTATTTAAGAGTCTCTTGTGGTTTGCCTGCTTCCCTCTCTGTAACTATTTTTTTCCCCTTCCCCTCCCCCACGGTCTACTGTTACCCGAGTTCCACATGAGTGAAATCATATGATTATCTGCCCTTCTCTGCCTTACTTCACTCAGCATGATACCCTCCAGTTTTATCCATGTTGCTGCAAATGGCAAGATTTCATTCTTCCTCGTTGCCAAGTAGTATTCCATTGTATATATAAACCACATATTCTTTATCCATTTGTCAGGTGATGGACATTTAGGCTCTTTCCATAAATTTGGCGATTGTTGAAAGTGCTGCTATAAACATTGGGGTACAAGTGCCCCTATGCATCAGCACTCCTGTATCCCTTGGGCAAATTCCTAGCAGTGCTGTTGCTGGGTCGTAGGGTAGTTCTATTTTTAATTTTTTGAGGAACCTCCACACTTTTCTGGGGCGTATTTTATTTTATTTATTTATTTAAAAAATTTTTTTTAACATTTTTAAATTTATTTTTGAGACAGGGAGAGACAGAGCATGAACAGGGGAGGGTCAGAGAGAGGGATACGCAGAATCTGAAACAGGCTCCAGGCCCCGAGCTGTCAGCACAGAGCCCGACGCGGGGCTCGAACTCACGGACCACGAGATCATGACCTGAGCCGAAGTCGGCCACTCAACCGACTGAGCCACCCAGGCGCCCCTTCCGGGGCGTATCTTAAATAAATACTTGAGGATGAGGAAATTGTCTACAGCAAAGTAGGGAACCTGGTGGTAGAAAGATGTGAGGGAAATCTGGGACCGGAGATCGTCAGCTGGTGACCCTGGACAAGACCTTCCATTTCCCAGCGTTTGTGAGAAACGAAAAAGAGCCACAGATGAGCTGGCAGGGTGGCAGGTTCTGCAAACCGGGGAGCACTTGCCCAAAACAAGAACGGCACCCCCACCACTCACTCCCCGTTCATCTGCAGATGCTGTCAAACCTCATTTAAGAAGGCTGTCAGGAGACAAGGGCCCTATAATTCACAAGCACTGCAAACCTTTCCGGGTCCCTTTAGAAGAGGCAAATGGCACTACCAGCTGAATATAATAAAAATAAATGGCATCACGCATGTAGGCCTAGGTAGAATGAGAGACTGTTAGGAACCCTGAACGTTATCTCATTTAATCTTTGTTTTCACGAGACAGAGAGGAAGGTCCAGGACCACAGAGCAAGTCAATGGGGAGGTCTCAAAGGCACATTTCCCGACTCGATCCTGCGTTTTCTGGCCACGATCGGGAGGGGTGGGTGTTGGTGCCACGAGATCCTGCTTGTAAACAGAAAGGAGGCGGAGTGGGAAGGCCTCATTTCAGGGCAAGAGAGAGCAGGCCAGGATGCTTACGGAGGGGTGGACTGCAGCGAGCTGACGGCAGCTGACGTGCGCACCTGCTAACAGAAGGTTGGGTAGACGCTGGTGCCCCATAGATGCAACCCTGTGCAGGGAGTGCACACACATGTGCACACACTGATACAGGAAGAACACCCAGGCAAACCAAGTGAGGACTTTCACAACAATTCACACTGTACTTATAGGAAAAACTAAATGCAAAATGTGTAAATGT